AATATATTTAAATCGTCGTTTTACTTTCCAAAAAGGATATTCGCTACATGCCTTTTTACTCACGAACAATCTGCCGCGAGCTCGTATTTCGAATCAGCATCCCTCGGGTCACCGATTTTTTACCCTTCATCCACGCCTTAATCGTTTTCGTATTTCGGATTTCAATTTGTTACCACGGCCGCGCATAATTTTCAATAATTTTCACCACTGCCGTGGCGGGAAATCATGATCGATCCTTTTGCTGTATTCCATCGGTCACCGAAATAACAACGACGTTAATTAATAAATAAACGCTTGATTGCAGAGTGAATCCATTTTAATTAAAACCGACGATAGATCCGACGATTTTCTCATGTACCTCATCCTTCCGCTCTGGACAACTATCAACCACGTATCAACAATCGATTCTACGCGTTCTAACCATTTTTATTTGTTGTCTATGTTTCTTTGTTTTTTCTTTTTTTCTTTCATTCTTTCATACAGGTGTTATTATTCACGAATAATCGATTCTCCGTTTTAATTAATTTTATTTGCCTAGATTTCTCTTTTGTGTGTGTTTTCTCCTCTTTCCGTTCTTTATTTTTTCATTAAAATATTATTATTAATAAAGCAACTCCACGAAAGGAAGCATATTACGCAAAAACAAATTGTAATTACTCGATATTCTCGATATAAAGTGATAACAAAAAACAGAAGGTTCGTTTGTTGCTCAATGTTATATATTATTTATTCTTTGCTCGCTAATTGAAATCTTCGTTTTCAACGTCGTGCTGGATAAATTGTCACGCGTAAATAATCGGTGTAATGACGATGATCGCACGGATCGCGTTTCCTTTTTTCTTATGGGAATTGGAATAGATAATTATTGAAAGCATGATATTCTTGAATCGATGTTTTACGACGATTGTAAATAAATTTCTGTATTTTCAATGTTTCAAATTTTGTAAGGATCGAAAGAATACAATCTTTAATCTAACAATCGTTAAATTCACCTCCGTTTTCACAAGTTTAATAGAAATCGTTTATCTCTTTTGTCTTTAATTCTTTTTATTTTCCCTCTTGCAAACTTCTTCTTTTACTTTCGATCTCTCGCCAATTATACATGTCTCGAACTTCTAATTTCTGGTCGTAACAACTCTCTCTTACTCGCTTGGCCGATCAATTGGCCGGCCAAGAAGTTCCAAAGACTCGGGAAAACTTGAGAGGTTTGAGCAATTGGGACGTGATGCGCGACGATCAGCGCATTATCGAATTAATTCGACCTCGTCGATCCCTTTTGTCGATGGTTATTGTCTCCCTTCTCTGTCTTTCTAAACGAAAAAGATTCTTTTTTTTTTTTTTTTTTTTTTTCAAAATCGCGAAAAATTCGTCGAAGAATCGATCACGTTCGAAGTTTAAATCTTTGATCAAATCCAATGTGACGAACGATATCGATAATTATCGGATTTTTGCGAAATTAAAATTCGAAAGGGAGATAAAACGAATATATCATAAAAGGAATTATAAAAAAATTCCATATTCCCCGCTTTCTAAAATTTCAAATTGAAATTTTAAATACGATAAAACGTTACATCTATTAATTAGCCTGTATCGAGGGTTACACTTTTATACACGAATGTCGAGAGCATTGATGAAACATCACATGGACGAGTAAAATATCCATTTTCACCAATGAAACGTAATCGAACATTCATATTTATAATTTCAAAAAAAAAAAAAAAAAAGAAATCAGAAACATTGTTCATTTTAACGACGTATCATATACCGATACAGAGCATGGAAATTAATGCATCGGTGAATTTCGTCCTGGATATAATTCGTTATAATTACACGAGTATTATTCACGCGAAATTGTCTGGCAAAATGTTCTCGAGCTATCACGCTTATACCGAGTTCTTTGATCGAGCGTCTATTAACTCTTCCAATTTGCAACAATAAAAACGGATATTGTTGGCTCGATTCATCTCGAAGCGGAATTTTACAGATCTATCATACGCCCATCACCGAGATACTACTTGAAATTCCATCATTTATCACAGAGTATCAATCTTTATTCGATTAAACTTTAATAGCTTGCACTTTTTCGCATCGTTACGAAATGTAAATTGCATTTATTATCGTTAAAGATATAAATTGCCGTTCCTCCTCCACCCCGTAGCGCGAATTTAACGAAAAATTATTATAACTTTGTTATAATAAAATCGATATTTTATTCCTTTTAATGTCTCGAATTTCGTTCGATAGATTTTCGTTTAATTTTAAATGGTTATGATGTGAGAAGAAATTCGAAAGAAAACCGTACGAAATGAATACTTGCGACGATTTTCAAGCTTTTGAAATCTTGATTAATATTTCAAAGAATCAGAATCGCGAAATGGAAACGACAATTTCCAACTGCATAAATTTACAAATTCATTTTGAATCTGAAAAACTATTCCGATTGAAGTCGAAATTGTTAATCCATCCGTTCACAAAGAGAGCCGAGCGTCGAACGTGTTCGTGACAGACAAACGTGTACGAGACAGAAATTTTTTATTGGAAACGAAAGAGAAGTACAAAGATGAAAATTGTGAATATTCTTGCTTTTTCTTTTGCTTGCACAAACATTCTTGTACAATCGTGTTTGAACGTACAATTGCGTTTATCACGATGTTTCATTAAATTAAATTAACAATGTCGTCCAATTTCTTCCATGTGAATTTTACATTTTGGAAAATAAATTATCCACGAATAAAATTAACGAAATTCATTTATTTGTAGATATTTTTTTATTTCCATCCGTGGAAATAATTGATAATATAAAAATAGTGGACAGAATAACTGACCTTTTGTTTCTGTTCTCGTAACGATTTTAAACGATGATACGTCCTCCGTTGCAAACCAATTCGATTCTGATAAGCCTCTTCCAACCAACGTCCAACTGTCTGCAGCATCTTGGCCTCGTCTCGTTCGCTCGAAAAAACAGATGGCGATCTTATCAATTTTCTCGATATCGAACGATGTATTGGGTGCTTTTGAAACGAATTGTCCGATTTTAGATTGAACGACGTTTTGTCAAATTGATGGTTTGCTTCTTGGTGCACGAAAAAAAAAAAGAAAAAAAAGAAAAATATCGAGAAAGTATCGAGAGAAAATATAAAATAGATATTTTTCGATTTATATAATTTATATAATTTCGATTTTGTTCGAATTAAATAATTCTGTAATTCTTTTTTTTAAATTTAGAATTTCGAATTTTATATAATTGCGAATTTTCACAATCATCGAACGAAACACGACACGACGCGCGACACGATATACTTCGAAATGAAAACAAAATATTCTGCGACGTAATGTCGTTCGTATTATGTGTCGACGCCGAGAACGAGACAAACGCGCGTTTATTTATTAATAGAGATTAGAGGAATTATTAATACCATTCTTATTTACTTCGATGAATTTACGTTCAGTCTTGCGAATTATCTCGTCCGTGGCGGTACGATATCGCGTCGCGGAGTATCTCGTCTCGTGGCGTGTGCACAAATTACGTCGCGTGAAATACGTCGTCCGTGGAGTGCGTGAACTGCGCATATCGCATCGTATAACCCCTGTATATACCCCTCGTGGTTAATTAAAAAGAGCTTCGAATTTTTATCGCGTGAGTATCGAATTCCAAGACGTAATAATAGCTGCGAATAAAAATTTGAGAGCAAATTGGTAGAATTGGCGCGTAAGATATTCGAAAGGAAAATAACCCATTCGTTTCGAAGTTATGAAAAAGTTTTACTGCTCGGTTTTACGATGTAAAAAAAAAGAAAAGAAAAGAAGAGAAAGAAAATTTATTGTTAGAAGTGAATCTTTCTGAAAGGTTGGGAAGGCTATTTCTGAAATGTGGTAACAAGGTTTAGCAAAGTAGAATAATTTATTCGTTCATAAAGAGGGACTAAGTAGGGGCGTAAAACTCGTGATTATCCTTCGCTCTTTCATCACGGGATCGATATCGCGATTCGCGTTTTATTTTTGTTCGGCAAATTCCTTTCCTTTTTATCGATTCCATTTACCGGGTTTCTCGGAGAATGGAGATGATGGAGATTTGTAAGGGAGACAGGGTATGTAGGCTGCAGTAATTTACTTACGTGTCATGCTAACTCAATGTCGCGCGATTAATGAGACATACGCGCGCCGAGATTGTAATTAACGATGTTATATACGAGTGCCTTATACCATTTTGAGAGACTCTAGTTTCCAACCTTTGAGACGTACCTTGTCTAACGTATTCTCTTCCCTAATGCATTCGATCTTTCGAATCCGTTCACGAAATCGATCAAGAATCGAGTCGTAAATCTTTTAGTAATTTCTTTTACGAACGATATTTACGTTCCTTTGTTGGCAATTTTTTTTTCTCGTTAGAGAAAAAATCAAAGTGTACTATAACCAAAAGAAATCCATAGGTTAATCGATCGAATGTTATTTATTTATCCTTTATTTCCTTAAAAGTACAATAAATTTTCTTTCCAATTCTTTCTCAATAATGTTTCACCTATCTTTCGACAAGATTCGATCGAAGTGGTTACTTTAAAACTACTTTAACTCGAGCACCAAAACTTCGACGCAATTAATATCCCAATCACCTTGTTCAACAATTTTTCACCTACTTTAAGACATCCCATCGAAGTTATTATCTACTAAAACTTTGAAACGCAAACAATATATCCCTCGTTCAATAATTGTTCAACTATTCCTCGACTTTAAAATATCGTATAACACAGTTCAAAAGGTTGAACAACATCGAACTTGGACGTAATTAATATCCTCTTTTACCTAATACATCGTAGAATAACGTATTGACCGACTAATTAGAATAGAAAGCACAAACGAAAGAAGAAACAAGACAGTTGTCCAACCTTTAAAATGAATCTGGAAAAAATCAAGTCACGAGTTAACATGGTAGAAAAACACACCATAAGGTCTTGGCGACACGGGTTCGAACAATGGTATGTTATCGATTTCCATCCCCTCGTACACTCGCTCGGACGAAGAGTAAGAGAGAAAGAGATAGTGAGACCCCTTTCCACGCAAGCTTTCTCGCTTCCTCCCCCGCACAACAGTGGCGTTGAAAGCGCGGAACATTGTGACGAGAACCGGTTTTCATTGCGACATCGATGTGAATGCGTTTCGAAACAGGGAGGATGGATATGTGTCGGGCAAAATGGTCGCACGCGCGGCATTCGCGACTAATCGCTGCGAAACTTGCACGCTTGTCCACGATTCGCTGAAATTTTCCAAATTTCCTGTTAGACCACCGGTCTGCTCTTGTTGCTTTGCGACGAAATCACGAGTTGGAATGTATTAGGAGAGAGGGAGATGCGATCCTTAATAGAAATAGGTGGGATGATTTTCAACAGTAATTGAATTCATTTAAGTAGATTTATTTTTAAGAGTGAAATTTTTCGTTTTTTTAAACTTTTTGCAAAAGTTGGTTAGAAGTTGGTTAGAAGTTGGTTGTTCTGTGATGAAATTATGGAATGGTGTAGGGAAAAGGAAATCGATTGTTAATTTTTTAATCTTTTGCAAAAGTTGATTGAAATTGTTGTGTGATGAAATATTGTTGGGAAAAGGAATTGTTAATCGAAGTAGGTGGGAATTTTTTAATTAGTCGATTAGAATTTTTAGAATTTTTTAGAAATTTTTCGTTGAATTTTTGGTTGTCGAAACGAATTGTTTAGAAAATAGGGGGTAGATTAAATTTTCTAATTAGTAAATCAATTTTTCCAATTTTTTTTTTACCGTGAAATTTAATTATAGTGGCATTTTATTAGATCACCAAAAGTTTAGATTCATTGTTGAAATATATCTTGGAAAGAGAGAAGATGGGTGGTGGATTTTATTCGAGGTAGATGTTTGTCAATTATTTTGAAAAATAGAATAGCTAAAATTGGAATATTACGGATAATAAAACTAATTAGGAAATTAAAGATCTATTTAAAAAAAAAAAAAATCCAACAAAAGATTTATTCACGGAGAAACTTTTACTCGTTGTCGATATTGAATGAATAAATTAATAGGATGGTTCTTTTGTGCTTATCCTCACCAATACAAATACGCAGTTAATATATTTCAAAATAACGAGAAGTTCAGCTATTGTGCCAATACCCATTGTATCGAGGAATCAATTTAAAAGTTTCAATGCATTATCCAAGTCACGTCTCCGGTAAAATTACCTTCCTTTGCTTTTAACAAATAACCAACCATCTAAATCACCCTTGGTAAGTTGAGCGGCTACTTGGCGAGCGAACTTTCCTCTAATATCGCAAAGTACCTCCATAACACCGCTACAACTTGGAATAGTCCATCATTTCGCCCAACCTTCTAACCAACCTCTGCGCTAAATCATCGTGGGGGGGAGGGATACGTCGTGGCGTAATTTGAACAATTTTTCTCGTGAAAGATAATCTCCGATCTGATTCACGATACATAACTCCGTGTTTAAATCTTTCCGTTGCAAATATCTATCGCGAATACAGGTTTGAATCTGACTTTATTAACCAATATTTATCGACTTTTATTGAAATATTGGGAATGAAAATCGAAATCGAATTTCGCGATAAATACACCGTTAAATCATCGATACGATCATATCGATGTTAATTTGGATTCTATGATATACAATGATATGGATATCATTGGATTGATGAATCGATTGTCGATTATAATATCTTTTTTCGCGTAAATGTTGGTGATATAACGGTGTAATAAAAATTGTAAATATTTATATAAGAATTCTTGATAGAAATTAAATAGTTTCTTCAAATAAAATTTTATATATCTTTTCATCGAGGGATTATTTTTAACGAGAAACGGTATATAAGTTGTAAATTCTCACGATGTATCTGACAGAAACTATTATTCTTGAAATATGTAGCTTTCGAAACCGCGAAATTATTAAGGGTTAGCGAGTATTAGGGTGAGAATATATTTAAAAGCAAAGAGAAGCTCTTTTCTCTCGACGGTTAATTTTTCTTAACGAATACTGCGTCGAAAATGAAAATTACTCTTAGATAGTCACCACGCAACATCCTTTTACGAAAATCTCTCAATTTTAATGGATATCGAGCGTTTGAGCGTAAAAAAATTACCCTTCTCGGACAAAATATTCGCGAGAGCGATTCTGAAAATTACGTATTCGCACCCTTAAAACCTCTCTCAAATCCTTTCGAGAAACAGATTTCACTCTCACAGAGAAGGAAGAAGAAGAAAAAGAAGAAGCATCATCATCGAAGAAAGTTTCACAGTTGGTATTCGACGTGGAATAATTTCGCTTCGCCAAAGTGGACAAATATTTGACGAGGAGCAGAGGGAGGGGGGCTGAGAGGAGGGGAGAGGCGTGTTTAACCAGAAGGAGCATCGGTGTCATACAAACGGTGCCTTCAAACTGTCGCGCGCATTCAATTCAACAGAGCCGACGGTGATTCGCGGTTCTCCACCCCCTCCTCCCCCGTATTCATCGTGTTCCGACCATTTAAACTTTTACGGGTGACAGTTTCGAAGCGAGCTGTCGCGCGAGCTGACGCCCCCGCATCTCGTCTATTCCTCTCGATGGACGTTTATTCTCGGCGCGGCTGGTCGAGAGAAAATCGTCGTTTATGCCTTACCCGTTTTTCCCTCCTCCCAACTGGGGACGCGACGGGTCTCGACACGACATTTTTTATCCGATTGTTTCCGAGCTGTTATCGAATCAATGCGGAGGGACCGTTTCAGCGCGGCGCGAAAAAATCGATTTAAAAGAGGGAATTGGGGTTGGAGTAAGTTAGTTACGGGATAAATTACATCGATTGACGTTGAGTTTGCGAATTTTACATTGCAAATTGTGTGTAATATTCGTTTCGATTGTCGAATTAATGGTAGGAAATTGTGCGAGTTGCGCGTCGATTCGAGAGGAAATGAAGGGTTGAAGACGGTTGAGGTAAATTAGGGATAATTGTTGGGAGGTGGTCCATCGATTCGTTTTGGGTTTTTTGAATTTTTAATTAGAGATTGGGGGGGAGGGCGTGATATTTATCTCGAATTAACGCGCAAAAATTATGAAAGGAAAGTAAAAAGATAATTGATTGGAGGTAATTGATGTAAATTAGGGGTAATTCTTGGATTGGTAAATGAAGTAGAAATGATTCTGAGTTTGCAGATTTTTAATTGAAAATAGGTTAGGTCGTAGAATTTGTAATATTCATTTGAGTATCGAATTAGTATAAAAAATTGCGCAATGCATGTAATGATGATTTGAAGGAAAAAAGTGCAAAAGTATTTAAGTAAATTATTAATGAAATGAGAGATAAGTTTGTTTTTATGATATTCATTGGATAGGAAAATTGCGAGACATTAAAAAAGAAAAAAAAAATTAGAATAAATATATAAAAAAAAAATAAGTTTGACGATTTTAATTTTAGCGTTACTTAGGAAATCGAAATCAATCGTGTTTCAATTTCAATTTTTTCTAAAGCTCTCTGTTTCGTAGGTGTCATAACAATGATTATCGTTTAATTGGAAACTGTTGGGATCGAAATAGCCAGCATCAGCGATCGATTGGTAATAATTATCGTATGAAGGGACACGAAGACATCGAAATTTTGTAAAAAAGAAAAAAAAGGGAAAATTGTGGTTAAATTGGAATTCAATCTGACTAGAACAGAAATTGAAATGGAATCTCTTTTTATTTCTGGATTTAAAGGGATTCTTGAAGACAAAAATGGGAGATTGTTGGGCTGAAAGTTCGAAGCGCAATGCTGATACCACGGTTTTCGTATTTCACCCTTCGATCGTGGAGGATATTCAGAGAGGATATTCAACTTTGTTTGACGTTTCACCGATAAATCGATCACCGTTCCGTTCAATACACTTCACGAGATATTGCGGAGAGATTAGAAGAGTTCACGGACCAAAATAATAAGAACAGAATACGGTGCATTTAATCGAAAAATAATCTTATCTTGAAATACTTTTTAACAAGGGGAGAGACTTGAAAATTTTTATTCAAAAATCAAATCTATATTCATCATTTTTCGATCCAACTTTTCAAATTTTCTAAAAAAACTTTACCCAAAAAAGAAATTCTCTCGATATTTCAAAAATTTTCTTTCCAAAAAAATTTCCAAAAAAAAAAACCCTAAAAGAACCATCTTATCAAAGATCGAATTTTCAAGATCCACGCTTCCAAGTTTGAAAGGTTTCGATCTTCAAAACTTTCAATTCGAATTCCAGCTGGAGAGAGGAAAAAAAAAAAAAAA